TCCACCTCATAAAAGAACTCCAAGGCAAAAGAAGCCACACCTCTTCACGCTCATTTTCCTAATCTGACCATATATGCAACATGAGAGAGGGCAGGCAAGGCTGAAAAGAGCTCCCTGGCACCGGCTGGCTGGCTGGAGGCAAGCAAGCACACGCCTTTCTCCGAAGCCTGTGTCATTCGGGGTCGCCGCCGAAAGCGGGCGGGGGAGGGTGGAGAAAGAGAGAGAGAGGAAGAGAGGGGACGCTTTAAAGAAACTTGAGAAGGAGGCAGCAGCAGCAGCAGCAGCACGCGGGGCTCTCGTCGTCCCCGCAGTAGGTCAAAACACAAGCTCCCTATCCGCCCAGCCCTTTCCTTACCCGAGTCCTGCGGGGCGAGCTCGCTGCCGGCTGAGGCGCTGGAGGGGGATAAGCTGCCACCGGAGACGGGGGGAGGCTTCCAGCGGGTCCAGGGGTTATCCTTGGGCGGGGGGGCCTCGACGGCCTGAGGCTGCTGCTGCCCCGGTTGGCACTTGTCGCCGTTGCTACTATCCTCTTCCTCGTCGTCGTCGCCGCCGCCCTCTTGTTGCTGCTGCTGCAGCCCCTCACCGGAGCACCTTTCCCGGGGGGCTTCGGTCACTTGGCCGGAAGGAAACAGGAGCTGCTCCTGATGGTTCTCTTCGGGCAGCCGGGCCCCGCCGCCGCCGCTCTTCTCCGCGCCGCGAAGTGGTGCCTGCGGGGCGGCCGCGGACATACCGAGAGGGGTCCGCACCCGCTGTCCTGCCGCGCGCCCCTCTCCCTCCGCTCCCCGCGGGGCTGCCGTAGGGCGGGAGGGGGAAGAAGAAGAAAGAGAGCCTCTAAGCCGAGCTGCTCCGTGCGGGGGGCCTGGCCCGCCCCACGGGGGCTGCGGCTGGCGGGGAAGCAGCCCCCCCGCCCCAACAGCGGCCTCCGGGGGCGTCGCCGCTCATTCACCTCAGCGGGTGGTTCAACCGCCACCGCCCCGTGCCGGGGGGGGGGGAGGGAGGGGGTTGTAGAGAAGAGAGACGCGCGAGAGGGCCGCGCACGAGAACGCGTCGCCGCCGCTGAGGGGCCGCCCGGGGTTGAGGGGCGGGAGAGGGGGACAGGAGGAGGCGCCGGAGCCGAGGCACGGTTTTCGTGGGGCCTGCTTTGAGGTCCGGCAAGGAGCTCCGTCACAGCTGTCGCGCGTGTGTGCTTCCTCGCGCCGGGGGAGGCGGGGTGGGTGGGAAGAGGGGCGGGGACAGAGTCAGGGAAAGGAGTGAAGGGAGGGGGGTAAGAAGAAGGAGGCGGTGGCGGCGAACGGGCGAAGCGCTCTGCAAAACGAGGGCGGAGCCTCTCCGAACCCCTTCGGCGCGTTGTGACATCACAACGGCCAACAGCGCGGAGGGAGGCCGCGTGCGTCTCTTCTCCGGGCTCGCCTACCCCCCCCCGCCCTTTTCGCTCCCCTCACCTCCGCCTCGGCTAGCCCCGCCTCCGCACCGCCCGGAACGAGGAAGCGAGAGGCGGCGGAGGTGGCCGCGGAGCGCGGCCATCCTCAACGGAGGACCTAGGAAGGGGAAGCGGCAGCGGCGTTCAGGGGGACGCCACCGTTTCCCCTTCGAATTGGATGGCCCGAAGGAATGCCGCTTCTTGCGGAGCACGACAGACGCCGGTCTCTGAGGGAGAGGGAGTCAGTTGACAAGAGATCTGTGGGGCGCGAAGGAAGCTCACCTTCGGCCACACCAGCATTTCTTCGCCTCAGGAGAAGCGGGGAAGGGTTATTTTGGGGAGCTTTTTAATTTTTATTAAGAGACTTTGGGCAGGCTTTGGGCACGGTAGACTTAAAAACAACTACCTGTACAAAATAATTAAGCGTTGTTGCATAGATTATAGCTTACTGCCGAAAAATTTACATCCCTGCCCCGCTCCCGGTGGCTGCATGCTGTAGGAGGAAGCACTAGCCTTTTGAAGTTTCCACCAGCACATGAGCGCGCTCGGAAGACGGCTGCTCCCCGCCCTCTTTCAATTTTGGCTTAAATGTACAATGGCTTTGAAGATCCAATAAGATTAAAATGTTCCAGAGCGATGCCTCGTTGGCTAAAACATCGTTCGAAATAAAACTCAGTTGTGCTGTAGGCTCCCCTGATACTTAGCCCTGATACTTAGCTGGGGGTTGGACTAGATGAGCGGGTCCCTTCCAACTCTGATTCTTGTTTACCATGACACAGTAGACAAACGACTAGATTTTCTCTTGGAAAATTAATTCTGCAAACAACAAAAAGCGATTTGCACCTAAAAAGGTGCTGTCATCTTCACTTGCAACAACTATCTATAGCTTCTGTGGCTGTTCTTTGTGACATGCACATTTAAGAAAGCACCAAAGCAGTAAACAGTGGTGGTGTCATAACAACCCATGCATTCCAAATGTAGAATAATAATAGAACCAAATATGGAGCTGGAAGCCAACTTCAACTTGTAATTCCATTTTATGTACAGTACATGTTGCAATAGGGGGACGCGGGTGGCGCTGTGGGTAAAAGCCTCAGCGCCTAGGGCTTGCCGATCGAAAGGTCGGCGGTTCGAATCCCCGCGGCGGGGTGCGCTCCCGCTGCTCGGTCCCAGCGCCTGCCAACCTAGCAGTTCGAAAGCACTCCCGGGTGCAAGTAGATAAATAGGGACCGCTTACTAGCGGGAAGGTAAACGGCGTTTCCGTGTGCAGCTCTGGCTTGCCAGAGCAGCGATGTCACGCTGGCCACGTGACCCGGAAGTGTCTCCGGACAGTGCTGGCCCCTGGCCTCTTGAGTGAGATGGGCGCACAACCCTAGAGTCTGTCAAGACTGGCCCGTACGGGCAGGGGTACCTTTACCTTTACATGTTGCAATAATCCAAGGTGCTTCCATTCTTCTAAACTGAAAAACAGTAACTGTCCTTTTAAACAAAGGAGTGTTGTTACTTTCTGGAAAACATAAGGTTCAGCTGAGGTCTACTAGTCCAATAATGCTTATCAATTATGCCCTGCATTTACTTTAATTCATTCTGCAGCATTTATTTTTATTTAGAATGATAAAGCAAACAGCTAAGTAGCATATGAAAAAACGTACATAAAATGCAGCTAAAATCCCCCAAACTATTTAAAATACTAATGTAGTCACCTGATAGTACCACAGGAAATGTCAGGTTAGGCAGATTTTACTTACAACTGAAACAGCATAGGATAGAAAGCATTCCTTCCATATCAGACATGCACCTAGAGAAGCTGCTTTGCAATTCATCACTTTAAAAAATTGCCTGACAAGCAATCCATAGCTCTTAAAAGAATCCACAAGGTATTTAAAAATGATATAAATACTAAATTTACATAGGTAAAGGTAAAGGGACCCCTGACCATTAGGTCCAGTCGTGACCGACTCTGGGGTTTCAGCGCTCATCTTGCTTTACTGGTCGAGTGAGCCAGCGTACAGCTTCCGGGTCATGTGGCCAGCATGACTAAGCCGCATCTGGCGAACCAGAGCAGCGCACGGAAACGTCGATTACCTTCCCGCTGGAGCGGTACCTATTTATCTACTTGCACTTTGACGTGCTTTCGAACTGCTAGGTTAGCAGCAGCAGGGACCGAGCAACGGGAGCTCTCCCCATCGCGGGAATTCGAACCGCCGACTTTCTGATCGGCAAGCCCAAGAGGCTCAGTGGTTTAGACCACAGCGCCACCCGCGTCCCCTAAATTTATATAACTACAAATAATTTTAGAAGGCAACTAGAACATGCCACTTAAAATGCATGAAATTCATAAAATTGTGTATGCGAAATGGTTAGGAAAAAACTGCCTGTCTGCAAATCATGTGAACAGATAAAAACGTATGAGAAGAACCTAAACCAGAAATGAAAGTGGTTATGAGGGCATCAGGAGGGCATCTTGCTCCATCTTGCATTACTGGGTAGAGACATTTAGGGGCATATAATGGGGGACAGCATATGTCTCTCCCACAATGCAAATTTCTGTATTAATATTACTGCTACCTACACTTTAGCTATGGAGTCAATAGCATAAATGTCCAACATCTTTTACTGACCAATTGTATTGGATTAGTTTTAGGTTCTGATACCTAGGTATTCTAGATGCTTCTATTCATTCTACTACATACCCAATGCTGCTTGTCTACCTGTGGCTCATATTAAGAAACGTGCTAAGAGGAAGGCATGCTTGGCAAATCCACACTGTGATCAACTCCTGCCGGGAAACCTATGTCCCCACTGTGGAAGGACGTGTGGTTCCAGAATTGGCCTCCAGAGTCACTTACGGACTCATTGTTAAAACTGTGTTTATGGAAGACAATTTTACTCGGCTACGAGTGATCGTCAAAGAAGACTGTGGCTCATACTGTCCATTGAAGGATATTACATGCTACTTTGAGAGACAGTGTTTATCTGGGTAAATCAGTTCTTAAATATAAGATCCTTCTTAAATAAGCTTTCTGAGTACAGGACATAAAGATCTAGGACTCATTTTGGCTCAAGTTTCAGGAAATTGTGTTCTTTATATAGAATGATTTCCAATGTCATATTTTCCTAAACGATTCAAGATTGAACGGAGAACATCTTGACAAGGTCATTCATTAGATTCATCAAGGCTGCATAGCAAAGACAAAACGGATGATGTTTCTGGTTGAGAATACCTTTATGCCGAAGCATACTCCAAATAGTGTATATTCCCTGGAAGTAGACAATAATTAGATACAGCAAATATTAAACTTCAAATAGTATCTTTTATGTATGAGCATTGTGTTTTGTTTTTTCACTATTGAGTAATTCAGGTTCTTGGGAGAGTTGTCTTGGAAGAAGTCAACTATTTTCATATAAAACATTGCCATTTAAGATTACATAGAGCCCATGGGTACGGCAATCCCAGTCACAGAGCCTACTAAAACTTGGTTTGGCTACTCAATTCGGATACAGTACTTTCATTGGAGCCTAATGACAAAGCAACTGTCTACAAGAAGGCTCTTCACAATACAGACCAGCAGCATGAAAATGTTTTTGCAAGGTTTTATTGAAAAATATAAAATGCAGTTTAGAAAAGTATACAGAATTCTGAAACTTACTTTCATTTAACTATGATTTTCCTTTTTGATTAGAATACCATTAGTAAATTCTTTTAAATGAAATGTGTTAGGCAAGAGTATTAGAGACATTTGAATATAGTAAGGCCACAAAACTTTGTTATCAAAGACTTTGTTACCAATAATTTTGCTGGTCTTTGAAATACAGAATGCACTTTAAATGCAAGATTAATTAATTCTATAAAATACTGTTGAAAGCATATGATTATGACACACTAATTCACATAAACAGTAGTCTTAGAATAGTGATATTTAGACAAATTTGACAATATTTAGCAAAATTTATATACCACTTGGATTGTTGAAAAAGACCTCAAAGTGCTTTACAAGGAACCCACCATGTCCATTAACTTCAGTGTGTCTACACTGAGTAGCACTAGCAATGAATACCACCCCCTTAATCACTAAATTGGACACTCAAGCATGTTACTGCTCCTGCTACAGCAGATTTTGCGGTATAAAATTCTAGTAGATGCATAATATTGTGGCAGATTCCATATTCAAACGTCCAGCTATTTCAAGCCAATCCGTTTTTGCAAATTCTGGTGTTCCAGAAACCTGGAACCGGAACACTCCAAAAAGAGACATAGAGCCGATTCATGTGGGCCATAAATACTTAATTTTAAATATTGTGCCAGTTACATACCCTCCAACATTTCTCAGATGAAAATAGGGCTATCCTAGGGGAAAATGAGACATTTTGGGATCAAATCTGAAACCGGGATGGCTTCTGTAAATCCAGGGCTATCCCTGGAAAATAGGGACACTTGGAGGGTCTGCAGTTATCCATAACTTATCATCAAAGGAGTTTTAATACTTTAGTTCTCCGGGAAATTACTTTGAACAAGACTTCAGCAGTATCTGGAATCCACTTAAAGCTGCTGCTTCAGCGTAAAGTGCTGTTCACTACGATTAGGAAGTTCGGTCAAGTTTTCTTTTTACTTAGGCTTTGGTACTTTTAATAAACTTCCTCTTCATCAGACTTTGCTCTTCAAAAATTATTCTAGTACGTACAGTCTTATGCAGGTGTACTAAACATGTCCAAATTCAATGGGACCTATTCCTAGATAAGTGGGCTGACTTCAACTTTAATTATTCAGCAGAATCCAGTTACATTTCGAGAGTTGTATCCAACTAAGTCACTACATGGGTTTAACAACTTCCACTCACACAACAGAGCCCCAATCTCCTCTGAGCTTCCCCCCAACCCTCTAGCAGATTTGGGATGGAGGGAAAGAGATTGTGTTGTGTGAGCAGAAGTTATAACTTTACTGGATTCAGCCACAATAATATTTTATCAAATTCAACAGCACATATTAACTTCCATATAATATGAAAGAAAATACAATGGGTAAGATGAAGAGCTTCTGTGAGGCTAGCTCAAGTCACAGGATGCAACCACTGAATAATGGGGGAATTTATTTTCACCAAGTCCTGCTCCCTGAAACACAGCAGCCCCATTGAAGGCTGTTCTGGAGTGTTGGGGGACCTTCTGGAACTATGTGGGAGACAGCATGGGGAATGCTGGGGATAATAAGGATTGGATCCAAATGAAGATGGTCACTTTCATTCCATTAAAAATATTGAGAGTCAACTTAGTCTTGATTAACTTGTCCCATTGATTTCAATGGAACTAAAGAGGAATTAACTACCATATTGGGTTGGATCCAAATGAAGTTAATCCCTCTTTACTGCAACATGATGCAAAATAGTTTGTAAGAAAACCAACATTAAACATGCAACATATACAGAAGGATTCACACTTTATTTTCATTTCAGGTGTAACAATTCAGTCAATTAACATTTTATGATTCCTCAACAGAAGTATGCACCTCCTCCCTCCATTTTAAAATAAGAGCACACATAGCATGCTACTTTAAATGATTAAAGGTGGACAAATAGTTTTAAAGAACCAATTATGAGGTGCAGGAAAGTAATGTGCAAACTTTGTTCTTCCAACTGAAGTTGAAATAGGGCCAGGGAATACAGAAGATTGTGGGGGTATGTAGCTGCCTACTCCCCAGAGTCTGAATAGGCCATCTTAATAATTTTTATTATGAATAAACTTTTCAAGTTGAGCTCATTATTGAGAGTCTAGTTGGTCTCCCTGAAGGAATTTTTGAATTCCTAGTCCTAGTGACAACCTGGGGTGTGAAACTTATGCTAAAATTTATATAAACCAAATTTAAGCAGCCTGCGTTGGTCTCTCTTCAAAGGATAAGTGTACTCTTGAAATAACAATAGTCTTAAAAATCAGCTTATTCTTTAGACAGACATTACCTGTATTAAGAAATTGTGCTAAAATTGTCATTGGCATGACTGGTGCAAGTTTGAAATTGGTTGATTTCATTCTGATATAACGCCAAGTTCAGTTTACCGTCCAGTTGGTGACTTAACTGAACTTATGTCTGACTTGTTCTCCACATGAAGTCAACATGAGGATCCATGTAAAAAAGAGCTCAGAACAAGTCTATATAGAGCGGCTCCAAAGGACAGAGCTATACAGCGTATTTCTGGAGAAAACGTTCAAAGGCATCATATATAGCTTGTCTAAGAGAAAGAGAAGATTAACAACATTAATGAAGGTACACTAATAATTTACAATATTTTTTTTTGTCCAGGTGCAGCGCATTGATCTAACAAAAGATTTTAGCACCTGCTTCTACTATAAATTTTAGAAAAATGTCCATTTGTCTGTTTTCAGCATTCGGATATTTCTTGAGATATAGTTGCCAAAATTGAGGGTTCCTGAGTTGGGGTGGTGGACTACATTGATGTTTGAATGCAGCATACTAGTTTAAAATAAAAATGGTGGAATAAAGCATAACTTTGCCATGACTATGCCCATTTTTTTTGCATATTTTCAGCCACCACTTGAAATACTGTTCCCTAACTTGGCATGAAAGTTGCCAAGGTGGGAGCAGTTGTCTTCAGCAATGTTTGGATGCTAGGTGCCATTTTGATTCAATTTAGCAGAGCAATACAGGACTTCGGAATTTTTTTGGCATAGATTTGGCTGCCTCTCAATAAATCATCACCAAACCCAGGATGAGGGTTCCAGGTCCGGGGGGCGGAGGGAGTGCAGCAGTCTTTAATGACATTGGACATAATTTTAATTCAAGTTGATGGACCAAACTTGACTTGGTGTGACTTCACCTAACTTTGAGTGTCATGAGTCAAAACTCACAGATTACACTATCCATTTATAAAACACACACATACAAAAGTGTTTCTAAAAATTCCTGGGCAATGCTGGGCACTTCCTGCCAATTATAAACAAAGCCACAAATCTCAGAAATCCACAATTTAGGGGTAACAAATGCAACAACTGAAATATAAAACAGAACTGAGTAGGAAATAAAGCTCATTTCAGATGTAATGCTGTCATTTAGCACTAAATTAATGAGAAGAGAACCTAGGTTTATACACCACCACTCCACTGTTGTAACAACCTGGCAGTATACATTTCCTGTTTCAGACTACATCCAAGCTAGGTGGAACTCTATAGTTATTTTAAACTATGGTTTGTTAAAACAAGCCTGGCTCAAACTGAGGAGACGGGAGACCATAAGCCCAAGACTCAATTCAGCTTGTTCACATAGCACAAAACCATGACTTACTACTAGCTTTGAAGTGACCTAAATCTGTTGAATGCAGGGAACTTTCAGACAGCCACAACAAAATATGTATACTTAGCACTTAAGAGATGCAGTAGTAGTAGAGTATAAAAGCTTTGCTTGATTTTCATTGCTTAAGCTTGGCTGGGGAGGGCGGGGTATAAATAAAAAATTATTATTATTATTATTAATCAATGCCTCACCTGAACAATCCTTGTTTGAAGAGGTATGCACTAACATGACCTCCTTCCAAGTATCTTATTTCACATCCGGGCCATATTTCTTGAAGGCTACGTACACCAGTTCTTGGAATATAAGCATCCTCCTTGGCTTGAACTACTATGATCAGTGTTGGATCAACTGGAACTGAGAACAAGGAACAAAGCTCTTTAAAGCTAAATATGCTATCTTTAGTTCGGAAGACAATGTTACAGAAAGGTTAAAATTACAAGGTAATTGCATGGAAATCCACAATTCACAATCATGTCTTCAGCAAATGGCAACTATTTAATGCAGCCTTAGTTCTTTTTTACTGCTGAAGCAACACTGTCAGTAGCTTATGTTAGATTACACAAGAATGGGAAAGAACAGCAAAGGAAAATTAGTCCATATACAATAGGTTGTGACTATGAAACCAGCTTTCTTGATCCTGCTGAAGAACCACCTTATAGCCTAATAACCTGCTCTAGTATGTTAGCATCATCTTGTGATCTGCAGTGGTCTCATGTTGACCTTGTGGCCTCCTTCCCTGTGTCTTTTTGGTTCATAGACACATGGGGTAGTGGGGTATTGTCTATGACCATACCCTATCAATTTCAACATGTTGCATGGTCTTTGGCACAGTTTTGCATTTTGTTTTTCTGCTGGGCTTTGTTGAGAATAATTGGCCCTGGTGCTCAATTTTTTCATTTCAATATTTTTTGGTCCTCGCCTTGCAGAACAAGGAGCCCTAGTCCCACTTATGTCACTAGCCGCTACTATACCTTCTCTGCTCACACAAAGCTTTGCATGTTGATAGGTATTGATCTAGCTGCTGTTCCACCAGTTCACCATAATTTACAATGAGGCAACAGCTGTGTTCAACCCTATCTGCTTTTTGCCTTGCGCAGACCAGAGAATTATGCTGTTAGTGATCATGTGAGGCTTCAAATAGCTCCACAGACTATGCAACTTACGATATAAGCTACATTTCTAGTCCTATGAGACAAACTAGACACCACTGAATATAAAGAAGAAAGAAAAAAAATCAGGTTTAAATGCTTTATGTGCTCAGAGATTACTTAGAAATGCAGAAATGAAAATTTGGAGAAAGAAAACATAAAAAACAGAAGTATTACTTAACAGGGTAGAAATAGGCAGAGGGCAGCAAAAAGAAGAATTTCAAAACTGTATTAAAATAACATGTACCTGAAAAATTAGCTACATGAGTACATTCGTCCATCACCCCTTTCATGAATCTTAAAGATTCTCTTTGTAAACTGTCCCTTTTTCCACTTATCAGATGCTTCTGATTACTGGTAAAATCCTTATTGCTACTGCTGCTGGTTGAAAACGTCTGGTTTATGCACTGCATTTTTGACGCCTCTTGCACTAACAGTCCTTCCGCTGAGGCACTTAGAGGAGTTCTGCTACCGCTAATGCAGTGACCAGCTTCCGAAGATAGAGCTTTGCTTCTGGTTTCCAGGTTCAGCATACCGGAATGCAGATCCAGATTGCTTAAACTGTCCACACTGCCAGGAGAATTTTTAACAAAGTCTTGTCCCATCTTGAATGAATCTGTCTAAACAAAAATTTCTATTCAATTAAGACACTTTGAATATTAGGTAGATATCCTGTAAGGTATCAGTTACTCTGGTAACCCTAAAACATTTGCTCTGGGGGGAGGGGGGTTAGTATGTGGCAACTTCTATAATTTGCTCTCTTGAATGAGCTAGATGTTCCATTACTCTAATCCAGGGGTATCTAATGTAGTGCGTTCTGGATGCTGGTGGGACTCCCAATTGCCATGAACTTTACTTAGAATGCTAGTAAGTCAGGGATGATGGAAGCTGAAGTGCAGCAACATCTGGAGGCCACGGTTGGTGACCGCTGCTCTAAAAGAATATGGCAGTGCTTACATTTTAACTCAAGACACTTCCCAAATATATGGTGACTACAACACCAAATATCTCTTACATTATATAAGATACAATTGACAGTGTTGAATCTTGAGAACAATTTAATTTCTAATGTGAGTCACTTAAACTATGTAAACATAGAAAAGACTAAAGTGACATATCCCAACCTTTGGCTTGTATGAAACTGCCTTATGAATGCACCCCTATGTTAACAACTTTTAATTTAACCGTATCTGGGGTGGGTGGGGTGGAATTTATTTTCAGAAATTTGAAATCTGTGCAAATGCAAGCACATCCACAAGCATCCTTAGAGAGAAAGGCAGAAATCTCAACATAGTGTCCTTTCCCCTATCATAAATGATTAAATCATCCTCATTCTACACTAGGCTTTCTCAAAGTAGCTATTTCACAAAAGTTATATAACACTTGATTGTTTTAAAAAAAAAAAGCCCAAGCAGTTTACAACAATATAGGCTGTTGTGTGTATTCTGTTACCTAATGCTGAGTACTTGCAATGCATACAGTACCAACTCCACCGGAAAGAGTAAAGGAATATGCAAGATGTGCAGTTCTTAGTTCTGCTTAACATAGAATAAATGTTCCTAGAGAACGAGATGCTTTCCCACTGATTTATAATTTTCTTACTAGGAGGAGGACATTTTAGTCCCAATATTTTGAGAAGCTCATTACGCATAACTAGCATTGGAAACACCAAAACCCCCAAGTTTTCTATTCTCCATCATCTTCAGAAATTCCAGGCAATAGTTTTACCAGCAGTCACTTGATGTGGCAACAGCTCGGCATCTTCCATTAGTGGCCTCCTAGCACATCTAGTCATTGCTTTTTTGTTTCCTATGCAAAATATGAAACGGCTGGGAAAGACTGTGCAGGTGAGTAGGAGGATAAAGAACCCTTCTTCTGCCACTGTCACATTTCTCCAAGTCCTCCTATCATTATTTCCTAACTAAAAGGGATAGAGCCAGGAGTGCAATGAGCATTGTCAAAGGGAAACTCCCCACCGGGGTAGAAATCATATATTGAACAGATGGAAAACTCTTAAGTTAGGCTGAAAGCAAAGAGGAAGGTTACCATAACTTCCGTCATAGAGCTTCAATATGCTGATGACGACGTAGTGTGTGCAAACTCAGAGGATGACCTCCAAACCACCCTAAATATCTTTGCAGAAGCTTATGAAAAGCTTGGCCTATCGCTCAACATCCAAAAAACCCAAGTGCTGCACCAACAAGCACAAAACAACCCCTCTGCTACACCACAAATCCAACTTAACAGTGTAATGTTGGAAAATGTCAACTATTTTTCCTACCTGGGCAGTTATCTTTCCACAAGGGCAGACACTGATGCCGAAATCCAGCATCACCTGAGCTCTGTGAGTGCAGTTTTCTCTCAACTGAAGTGCAGAGTGTTTGAGGACCAGGACATTTGCAGGGAAACCAAAATGCTTGTTTACAGAGCTATTGTACTACCAATCTTACTGTACGCTTGTGAAACATGCACCACTTCATTTGAGCGGATGCCTGATTATAGTCTTCCAAAGCGACTACTGTAAAAATGAAAAGCGTAATGCTGGTGGTTCACAAAAGAGGTTTAAAGACTCTTTCAAGGCAAATTTAACAAAATGCAGTATAAACACCGAGAATTGGGACACACTGGCCTGCAAGTGCTCCAATTGGAGAATAGCCTTTACCAAAGGTGTCATGGACTTTGAAGATACTCAAACTGAGGATGAAAGGATGAAACAAGCGAAGAGGAAGGCACGTTTGTCAAACCCTCACAATGATCAACTCTCATCCAAAAACCTATGTACCCCCTGTAAAAGGACGTGTGGATCCAAAATTGGCCTCCACAGTCACCTAGGGACACACCATTAAGACTGTGTTCAGGGAGGACAATCTTACTCGGCTATGAGTGATCGCCAAAGAAAAAGAAAAAGCCCTTCTCCACATTCTGCAACAGTGGTCTAAAGAAACCCCCAACATCTGGCCACTGTCAGGAGAACTAAACGGCCTCGATCCTGTACAGTGGTACCTTGGTTTACAACCGTAATCCATTTTGGAGGTCTGGTTGTAAACCAAAACAGGTTGTAACCCAAGGCACGCTTTCGTCAATGTGGCCTCCCCCCCCAAAATTGGTTGTAATAAAAAAAAACAACAGGTTGTAATCCCAAAAAAGGGACACGTACTTCCGGGTGTGACGTGGTTGTAATCCAAAACAGTTGCAATCCAAAGCAGTTGCAAACCAAGGTACTACTGTATACCTGAAGGAGCGTCTCCACCCCCATTGTTCAGCCCGGACACTGAGGTCCAGCACCGAGGGCCTTCTGGCGGTTCCCTCGCTGTGAGAAGTGAGGTTACATGGAACCAGGAAGGGCCTTCTCGTTAGTGGCGCCTGCCCTGTGGAACACCTTCCCAGCAGATGTCAAGGCAATAAGCAACTATCTTACTTTTAAAAGACATCTGAAGGCGGCCCTGTTTAGGGAAGTTTTTAATGTTTGATGCTTTATTGTGTTTTTAATATTCAGTTGGAAGCCCCTCAGAGTGGCTAGGGAAACCCAGCCAGATGGGTGGGGTATAAATAATAAAGGTAAATAATAAAGGTAAAGGTAAAGGTCCAGTCGCAGACGACTCTGGGGTTGTGCGCTCATCTTGCTCTATAGGCCGAGGAGGCCGATGTTTGTCCGCAGACAGCGGTACCTATTTCTATACTTGCACTTTGACGTGCTTTCGAACTGCTAGGTGGGCAGGAGCTGGGACTGACCAACGGGAGCTCACCCCGTCGCGGGGATTCGAACCGCCAACCTTCCGATCGGCAAGTCCTAGGCTCAGTGGTTTAGACCACAGCACCACCCGTGTCCTAAAGAATAAATTATTATTATTACTGAAGAGAAATGAGACAGGTGGCCCATTACATTTTCCTATTGAAAATATAGCATCTGGTATTCTGTCTATGGATCCTTACATTAATGTTTTTGATAACCTGATAACAAGAAATAATCCCTAGTTATAATTTCTAAGCATCTATGAACAGCTATGTTGTTTACTAAATTGTTGGTGAACATGTAACAAACATGGGAGCCATTTAGCAACCAACATACAAAATGTAAGAGGAAATGCAGTATTTTTTTTACAAAAGCAATCCAAAAATTCAATTTTCTGGTTAAGTGCTCTGGTTGGTTCTAGTCATACGATGAAAATGCTCCTTCCTAATCACATACTGTAGTTTGACAAGCTCTCTCACAATCCACCATTCACCAGTGTAAAAATAATAAAGAGTAGAAGGGTAATGCATTTTTTTTTAAAAAAACAATGTTAATCCATCTTTTGACAAGAATATATGTATAACAAATCCTATAGTTTCATATCTAATGTTTTTGCTGAAGTGCTTGAGCATTATGAGATGTTTTCAATGGTCAAACTTGGAGCTAATATTTAGTATGAAAAATAAAATTATACCTACTCCACAATATTCAAGCATTTGAATGATCTCTTCTTCATAAACACTCTCTGAATAATACTGTTTCTCAAGCTGTCTCCAGTTCACTGCCTTGCTCAGTACACCCTGAAATTAAAGACATTATAAAGCAGTGACAAGGCATTATGAACTCTTATTCTAAAGACACCAACTATATAAAAATAATTTTAATTTATATCATTTTAGCAAAGTTTCCCCATGAGCTGTGAAAACATCTCTGGGCACATCTACAAACAAGGGCAAGGATCAAAGAACCATGGAAGCTTTAGGTTTGCATGTTTCACTAAGCTGCCTTTCATGCCTCATAAAGCATTTTAAAAATGGAATGTTTGTTGAGGTACTGAGAGATGGAATAACTATTTAAAAAAAGTTCCTCCTCAATTCAAAATTTGGTAACTCTACCCTAACCCCAAGAACACAAAGTATTTCTACTATGAAATATCCCAACAATAAATCAAACCTGATTAATATTAGGGCTTTGAAGCCTTTTGGTTTCCCACTTGTTGGCATTGTACACTACAAATAGATTACCGTAGTAAAAACACCAGAGGCTGTAGACCAGGAGAGACAAGGAACTAGTGGCAACGGTTTAGGCCAGTTTGACACTGCTAATGATGCCATCTGTCAAATAGAAGACAATACAATATTTTTTTCAGATTACATACTGCTTGTCACCGAAGATGAATAGCGCCTGTGATTTGTATTGTATTAGTCACCTCAGTATTTTTCCTCCAAAATCCTTTAACGTAAATCTTTATCTGTTTTCTTTACACACACAATGCATTTACCGCAAATTGAAATAAATTATACAGCACAGTTGGTTTCATAATTCCTTAGGGAGCGACAGACTTATTTTGTTTTCATAAGCACAAGTAAAATGAAATTACTACCTGAGAGAAATAGCTTTCACCCCTCAACATATTTTAGAATACAAAAAACCCTTCCCTTTTCTTTCCCCTCCCAGATTTTATTCACAACAAACTTAAGTGGCATTTATATAAAAATATCATCTAAAACTTCAGATTTTGAAAAGCATTTCATAATTTTAATCATTATGTATGCATCCGATACAAATTCTCCTTCCAAGTAATCCTCCTTCCCTCTTTAATACAAATCCTGAGGTCCTTTTTCCAAGGATCTCTGAGTAACATAAGTAAGGTTCTCATTAAATCTTCACAACAGATTTGCTGAGGTAGACTTGTCTAAGGTAAGTGATAGGCCAACAATACTTCATATGTTTCATGGGTTTGTACCTGGGATGTGTACCAGGACATAAACATGAAATTTAATAAGAATTTGATCAAACTATATTCAGTATTCATTCTAATGGAATCTGAAAATGTAAGGCCATTTCCATATCTGCGCATCCCATTTGTCATGTCTATGTCATGTGATTTAGATAACTCACTTATATTGTAACTTATTTTACAAAACTTAAAACCAGCTAATGATAGACATATGTAAGCTTCAACTTATTTACTATTTTTCAAATAAAGGTTCTTACATGTCCTCCCATGGATATTCCTGTCATCCCAAGAGGTCCATAGCCTTCTCTTTCTAACCAGTGCAGAAGAACAGCTGATTCTAGCACAAGAGCTCCTCCCATGACAAACAGGTCAGAGACATTTTTCAGACATGATCTTCTTTTCTCCCGAGAAAAGAAAGGCAAACTTTACATATATATTAACAAATGCACCTATCATCATATCTTCTACAATTCAGACCACTGTCCTCATGAAAACTCTCTCTCATTTAATTTGAGGAAGGGTTATGATTATATTTAAACCTAGTAGCTGCTGCCTGGACAAACTGGACCCAACTATATAGCTATTTGAACTACAGTTAACAGGAGCACAGTCCACACAAAACTGCCAACAATGGATTTTGGCAAATAAAGTAAAATATTTTCTTTATAAAGTTGCTTTATGACAAAAAGGCCTCAAAATATTGATACTGCCATATGAAGAAAAGCTGTGGACTTTGTGAAACTTACCCATCAATCTACAATTACTATTAAGGCCAGAATTTCAAATGTGCTACAATATTAAACAAATTTGTTTTGCAGAGATACCTGCACTGAAGTTACAGGATTTATTTTCCAAGTACTGTAGTTATACAGCAGTTTTGTCTGCTGTGAAGTATTACAAGTACACTGCAACAATTTAACTTTACGATGGATAGCTCTGGTGGCTGGTTGGAATCCATCATGCTATGCTTGTTCAGAGCACTTTGCTAATTTGGGGAAACAGAAGGGAAGAATGGAGAGATGAGGAATGTATTATCCTCCCCTTCTCAGTTGGGGAAAGCTGCCACTATTCACTCAAAATGGTTGGCAAAAGAAACAAGTGAAATGCTACAGCCACATAAAGCCTTCACTGTGAAATTTATTTACAGCGACTGGCACTCTATGAAATGACCTAGTTTTCATACATCTGAACATCTTGCAACACCAAGTTGCTGCATACTTGGAACAAGGTTATTTCTAGAAATAGCTTATATAAAGGATTTGAAGACATTCAGCATTAACACAGTTACCAAATTCAAGGTATGCAGAAGGTAGCCCCTAAAGTGAGGGACGCGGGTGGTGCTGTGGGTAAAACCTCAGCGCCTAGGGCTTGCCAATCGCATGGTCGGCGGTTCGAATCCCTGCAGCGGGGTGAGCTCCCGCTTTCGGTCCCAGCTCCTGCCCACCTAGCAGTTCGAAAGCACCCCTAAGTGCAAGTAGATAAATAGGTACCGCTTTATAGCGGGAAGGTAAACGGCGTTTCCGTGTGCTGCGCTGGTGCTGGCTCGCCAGAGCAGCTTCGTCACGCTGGCCACATGACCTGGAAGTGTCTGCGGACAGCGCTGGCCCCCGGCCTCTTAAGTGAGATGGGCGCACAACCCTAGAGTCAGACACGACTGGCCCGTATGGGCAGGGGTACCTTTACCTTTACCTTAGCACCTAAAGTGGCAGAATGCAATATTCCTATTTGTATTATTGACCATTGTGGCTTAAAATGAGTTTCTTGCAAAAAGGAATAAATTCAAATAAACACGATACATCAGAAATAAGATATAACTTGTAAATTTTAAGCAGTATATCTGTTTCCTAAATGTATCACAGAATACAGTACATTGCTAATACTTACAACTGATCCTTGGGTTTTCTGCATCCATGTACAGATAAGAGTCAAAGAAATTAATATGGAAATGTATATACCTTTTGAGTCTCAACATTTTCATTACAATTTATATTTAAAGGTTTTTTTTAAAAAAATGTGCACACTAAAATAAAAGTTATTTTAACTGTGTGGCTTTAGGCTTGGAATTTAACAATTAAACAGGAGGTGATGTGAGGGACGCGGGTGGTGCTGTTGGTTAAACCATAGAGCCTAGAACTTGCCGATCAGAAGGTCAGCGGTTTGAATCCCCGCGACGGGGTGAGCTCCCGTTGCTCGGTCCCTGCTCCTGCCAACCTAGCAGTTTGAAAGCACGTCAAAGTGCAAGTAGATAAATAGGTACCACTCCGGCGGAAAGGTAAACAGCGTTTCCGTGCACTGCTCTGGTTCGCCAGAAGTTCGATCAGAAGGTCGGTGGTTTGAATCCCCGCGACGGGGTGAGCTCCCATTGCTCGGTCCCTGCTCCTGCCAACCTAGCAGTTTGAAATCACGTCAAAGTGCAAGTAGATAAATAGGTAATACTCCGGCGGGAAGGTAAACGGCATTTCCGTGCACTGCTCTGGTTCGCCAGAAGTGGCTTAGTCATGCTAGCCACATGACCCGGAAGCTGTACGTCGGCTCCCTCGGCCAATAAAGCAAGATAAGCGCGGCAACCCCAGAGTCGATCACGACTGGACCTAATGGTCAGGGGTCCCTTTACCTTTACCTTTAATGTGAGCTCATGCATTATGTTAGACATAGGAGATTTGAGTTCACACATGCTTAACATTTCAATCATTGAATGACTTATCTAGGCAAGTCATTATATATAACTAAACAGCAATATGAAAAACTTGTCTTACTGCTCTGTTAGGAATTTCAGTAACATTGCTTAGAATGATGGCTATGATCCAGACACGTTCCACACAAACATTCTGAATGTTTAATTGCTGCCAACTAGTATTAAGAAAATTATAATATGTGAATTAAATTTTTGTACTCTTGGGCTACATCTTGGGATAAATATAATATCTCTATAAGAAAGTAATTCAGAATTTGTTAACAGCTGCCCAATTGGTGACAGATTTCCATTTTTGTGTTATCAAAATGCCAACAGAAGAGGATTGGATTTTAAAAAACCCTCAGGTTTATTGATAGATAAATTAATGCAGTGGCTTCAAACAGGGAGACAGAAAACTAATATTTTATGAAAGACTGCTGGTTGGTAATTTGGAAACTGAATCTCTTAACTGTGACAAGCCAAATGAAAACATGGCAATCAAGTGGGGCAATGCATTCTTTTCCTATTATTTTTTCTTTAAATGGTCCTCATGCCCTCCCCAAGCTGCATTTAAAATGTGTCTAATTTTAGATAATGATGCCCTGGAGTCTATTTGCATATAGTTTTACTTTATATATGATTACATACACACAACATTAATTTGAGTTATTTATGCTTTTGGAGAGTTGCAAAATATCCACAGAATATATGATTTCTTTTCAAGCAGAACCACACATACTTAAGTATAATCATTAGGTCACTTACAGGTCATTTACTATAGTTTTGTCAATTTCTAAGCTACTAATCTATACAGGAAACATATAAATGGTTTACATTTCATATGATTTGACACATTTGACATCTCCATTCACTATATTAGTGTTGGAACTAAACACATGACTAGGCAGCAGCATCTTTCCTCTCTAGATCTGTGCTTCACAGACACATTTTGCTTAATATAAAGGATATAATAAGGGTTTTCTAACAACAGTGAAGCCATGCAGGCCTCTTTGATCATTGGACGGGCCATTAACGTGCGTCGTCTCCAAAAGTACTAAAGAGACAGAAGTTTAATAAGATTAAATTAAATAGAACAAGTGTAACAGGCTTTTTAAAAAAGCATTAATGAAGTAATGTTGTATGCTTACATGGTCGCCAGTGCCTGCTAAATGAATGCACACTGGTCTGTATTTGCTGTTCCATAGTTTGGGTACTAAAAACTGAAACCTATCAAATAGAAAGCAATCATTTAAAAACTATGCCAACATGAAATCAAGTTAACAGACTAGCAACTAATATCACACAAAGTTTTACATCAAGGACTAGTAATGCATTTCCCCCCTCTTACGTAATAAGCATGATTGCAGAAAATGTTTTCCAGCTACCGTGATAATTAAAACTGCTGCTAGCCATCATATATGGCATTTCTCCAATCAAATGCAAATCCAGAATAACTGGCACATGTGTATGGGGGGGGGGGAATAGTATGGGATGTAAAATGTCCCTTAAGGCATGCAGAAGTTTAGTTAGGACCTTTTTAATCATAGTATTATACTTACTGGGACAAAAATTTCAAGAGGAGCTCTCAGCACGTAAGGTAAGAAGCTGTTCCCAGTGGCACTCAGTGCAGACAAAGCCCTAGCCAACATGCAAACCTATCCTTATTCAAAATTAACACACGTATGCGTCACCTTTTCACCAGCATTTCATCTCATCTCACTCTCTGTAATTTCGTAACTTACATTAGGTGCCTGTCCTTACCTTGCTGTGATGGATTCTGGTGGCATGATATCTGGAACATAATGAGCCAAGGGGGAAATGAACTGCCCATCAAGGATCTTACAGTCTGACTGCTCTTCAACCTACAGTAACAACATTGCATTATTACTAAAGCTGTCAAACATTAACAAGTACATTTGGTGGGACAGAGGAAGCTGCCTTATACAATGTCAGACCATTAGTCTATCTAGCTCAGTATCATCTACACTGACTAGCAGCAACTCTCCAGGTAGGGAATATATCTGCACCCTACCTGAAGGTGCTGGAGATTGAAACAAGGATTTTCTGCACGCAAGGGAGATGGTCTACCTCTGAGCTACAGCCCTTTCACTAACATCTAGTGAATTCTAGCAACATGCAGTTTACCAAGCATAGGTTCCTTTCTATAGATATACTTCAACTCAACAAATGATACCTCCCCTTTGAACAAATGTTTATCCTTTTTCATAATCAGGATTGCAACTCTGCATAGACTCTTAAACTACTTAAAAAATAAATGCAACTTAATACCTTGTTGATGTGCACTGGATAGTCTCTTGAAACCAGATTTTGACATTTTTCTCTGTTTCCTATAATCTTTCTGAATGCAAATATTCTGTTAATGACAAAAAATAGTGTTAAGTTTCAGCTATTACTACATACAAGACACAAAAATGTGTTTTATAATTTTGTCTCTGTTGGGCCTGAATGATCTTTAATTCCACCCCTACCTAGGATGCTATAATATCCAATGTTAACATTAATAACTCCTGCACAAGCTTTGTTTATTTTTAATGTGACACCAGTCTTTAAATTTAAACATGTATTAACACAAATATTACCCATCAATTTGAGACAAATGCTTTTCTAACTTTTCCTTCATACAGTATAAGAAAACTGTTTTAAGCTTTCAGTGTGCACTCAGAATATAAGCTTTGGGGGTACTATTTTTTGAAATTTAAAAGCAGAGCATGTACCCCAATCTGGAATATAAGCATGAGTGAGCATAACTACCTTTTCAAGTCTTCTGGTCTTCCCCATCCTTGAATAAAAAGCTTAGTGAGAAGTAGGCGCCTGTATAAGACATCTAGTTTACTCACACCCATTAGCAAAACACATCTAGAAAAAGAGCAGAGAGAGCTGTTTAACATACTGGTGAAAAGTACTGTTGTTTCTTACTCTGTAACTGTAAAAGTACAGCTCTTATTTCCAATGAAAGCAAACACTAGTTATAAACACACAGAAATTGTGAAATATAACTTTCAAAAACCTGCTTGAAACTGGCACATTAATCTTCGTTAAAGAGAACCCCTGTACTTGCTTTAAGAAAATGACTAAGGAAGTAGAATTTATTAGCACTTGATTTGATGCACCTTTAATAAGCTGCCTGTCAACAATTTGTTGCAATTCTGCTACGACAGCAAATATCAGTGAAGGAAAAAATACATTCTATTAATCCAGTTTGTTTTCTTTTACAAATGGAAAAAGCTATGTAGGCAAAATACTTATATTGATAGTATAACTAGCTTCAGGCATATGCCTAAAGCTGGAGCAAGTGGAGGCATGTCCACATCCAATGCTGATCAAAGGAAGAGAGAGAGTGCAATAGGAAGTACTATACATTTCTTCCCTCCCAGGAGAAGAGGGGAAGTGATAATACACAGAGCCCTCTCTACCAATTACATTTTCTATGGTCTGTGGTGTTAGCCCCTCTCATGTTAACTAGCAAGAATATGCCGTGGTTAGGTTTGGCTGATAATCTCCCACTCAGGAGTAGGAACCAATCTGAACAGAAGAATGAAAACTTTTTAAAACGTAAAACACACTGAAACAGCCTATTACCTGCACAGCTGTTCACACTGCACAGATACTGCAAAGAAACCTTCTACATGTTAAATTATTTTGTATTGCAAATGGGTAAATTATAAGGGTGCCTAGACCAATGCGGAGGACACAGCTGTTTAAACAGAGCAATACTTGCTGTGGCATAAGCAACATACCACAGAGTACAGAGCCACCTAATTTTAGGAACTGAATCCTAGTGGATAAAGATGTTGGAAAAATCCCAAGAGTACAAACTGTTGTAGTTGGAAAAGAATGTGCACCTTGTAACAATGAAAAGCGCTGTAAGGAGTTTACAAAGAGAGCTCAAGTTACATGCATTAGTTTGAGTGAAGGGAAATGTGCTTGGTTCCCATTTTTTGGGGGGGGGGTAAATCTTTCAATTTTGTAAATGTTGCAATAACTGAATGAACTTTCCCATTGTTTTCAACTTCATTTTAAAACACGCACACTCTTTTCAATCTCTTAAATTCATACATAGTATGATGGTTGCAAGAATATATTTTTATTGGTAGGCATTCCAAAACTAGGTTGCTTCTGCATAACCAAAATGAGATCTTTTAGCATGCTTTCCAAAGTAAACTCTAAGGTAATAGAAGATGTGACTTTTGTAAGATAGCTCTAGGTCAAAGTATTAATTGTGCAATGTACATCTAAAGAAACAGAAGCTATGTCTGAACACTGAGAGACTTTTCCTTCCTGAAAATCATTTCAGTATCATTGCTGTGGTCATATACTGCTTATCAAGCAAAGCAAACAAAAGCAACCTGCCTTATCCTTTGACATAATGTAATTGCTTAGTTAATATTTCACCACTGCTATTTCGTCTTTTCACTTACCACTGAGTTTTTTGACTGGAAACAAATTAATAGAATCATATTTCTATCTCACTCTTCAAGAACAATGTCAGGAATTTGATAGCCAAGGTTCTTTGTTGCTATTTTTTCCAACAATTACAACACAGGATGAAAAATTAACAAGGAGCTGAAGTGCTTTAAGTCTAGAATCTACGTAAGATCTTTCAAACATACAACATTCTGCTCTAAATATACTTTGATTACTGAAAAAGCTAGTTATTTTTCATTCACACAAGGACACACTCCAAACAGTGAAACCCAAGGAAACACAAGATGGTTAGCCTAGCAAATGACCCCCTCCCAACTTTTGGTAATGTCAGATTAACCTTGATATTTGGTATAAGGTAGCATTTTTCCAGAGCATAAAAACATGATTACAGTCACGCTTCATTTCTAAAGTAAAGTTTCACAATGATAGCATACAAGGTTAGTATGTTGAGAAGATAATATGTTGCCAAACTTAATCTACCAGCTTTTACTAATCCAAAAGTGTGTGAAATATTTGTAGCAACAACCTTGGCCTCAAAAACACTGTCCTCAAATAAACACATTGCAATTTGGAATCAAAATGAGAACAGGAAAGAACAGAAATAATAAAACTATAATTAGTGGGCCATGAATTACACAGCAGTATTATAACATCAGGAATGTGATTTACAGTGCAATCCTATTCATGTCCATTAATAAATAAGTCGTTTAATACAATGTGGCTTACTCCCAGCTAACTGTGCATAGGACTGTCTTAGTCGTGGTTTGGACGCAATATCTTTGCAATATACAAAAAGAAAAAGTTGACACCATTTTCCCCCTACAATACATCACTGGCAGTCTACACTGCAAAATGTATGACAACCCTGAAAACAACAAAACCAGCCATGTAATTTATGAAAAAGGAAACAAATGTTTTCATACCACACTTTCATACAACACCCACACACTAAAAACATACACCTATTAAGGTTCTCAACCAGAAGTTGTTCATACCTGTCAACCTTGTCAGTCCAGAATTCTCTTAACCGCAACTCTCTTCATATCTGCTGGTTCAAAGTATGAATGAGTCAAATTATGTATGTAATTCAAAATATTAAGAGTATATATGCTACTAGGAAAGGCTTCAGATTTCCTCTCAGCACCCTTTTATAAAACAAATCTGGAGGACAGCTTCTATTTGACACTGTAAACCCTAAACAGAGATACTTACCCCACCACCAAGAGGCCAGAGTTATGAGCTACTTCACTCACTATGGGTGCTGCTACAATACCCTGAACTACTCTGGCTCTCACACTAGTTTTTAAAAAGAGGGTAATACAGTATCACCCAAAGGAGGCAGATCAATTTTTTTTATTTGCCAGAATCAGCATATTTCAGACCTTCAGAATTTTGTTCTGGCTTCCTAACGTTGGTGCTTTAATAAAAAATAGCCACTGGATCCGTAGAGAGAGCAATGCTTTAGAAAACAGACACACATATAAGGCAAAGCAAATACAGCATCCACACACTTCAACGAAGTTCCTTTCTCGTTGGCCTTCCTCTCACCATAACGGGTGAACTCTAGACTCTCGTTATAAGCAAGCAAACAAAAGCTTCCCACATATGGATAAGGGCGCCGTGGGCTCGCGATTGATTTAACTGCGAGCTTGTCCCTGAAACGCGCCTTCAACCCGACCCGCCAACAAATAAAACTACAACGCGGTTGGATAGGCAGGGAAGGACCGTCCGAACCTACGTGCTGGGAAGCGAAATCACGGCATTCAACGGAGCTGGAAGATGCACTGGATTGCCGACTAACCCAGAAACAAAACTTTGCCAAAAAAAGGAGGGTGGAAATGGGGGTCCTTGGATAACATTTACCCTTCCTCCCGAGATATGAAGGCACGGAGGACAACGTGTGAACCCCAACTTGTGCCCCAAGACCCCGGGCAGGTGTAGGAGGTCTTCTGGCGCTTCCCAGCAAGCTTGGGCAAGGACGACCAGGAGCCCAAAGGCTTTTCCGTCACGCCCCACGGCGACGACCTACCCATGTCCCGCCACCCAGGGAGACGCGTCAGGCTGCACGTCCTGCCCGCGCGGAGGCAGAAAATGAATTCTTCCCACCCGCCACACTGAAGAAGCGGCAGAAGGGAGAGGCGAGCGGGATGTCTCCTTCCTCTTCGTCCTCGTCCTCCAGCCTCTCCCCCTTTCCCAGCCTCTCCTCTCATCCACCAGCCTCCGGGACTCCGTTTCACCGTCCCGCCACAGTGAATGAGGGAGGGAGGCGGGGCAACGGAGGAGAACTTCGAAGGTCGCCGCTGTCACTCACTCCCTCTTCCCGCTCTCTCGTCTCCGCGCGAGAAGCGGCAAGAGCTAGGGGGCGGGGTAAGCCGCCTTTACACCAATCAGCGCCTCTCCTCTCACGTGACCAACAAGTGCCTGGTGTTGTGGGAGGCTGGTGGTGGTTGTTTTTTTTGTTCGCCGTCAGTCACGTGGCGCGTCACCTCACGGCTTGAACGGGAAGACGCGGAGTAAAGGAAAGGAGGGCGGCCGTGGGCGTGTGTGGAATGGCGTGATCCCCGTCCCACCCATTCCTGCTCCGTCTTGCCTTCGCTGCTGCTGGTGTTCTTCGTAAGCCGACCATGGCCGACGATGCTGTTTGGGAAGCTGCGCCTGAAGGGCAGGAGGAGCCTTTGCTGGACCCCCGGACCCCCAGTTGGAGGTAGGCGGAGGGGGGCTGCGCTCCTTGACGGGGTCTCGCCTCGGAGTCAGGCCCCTGAAGAAGAGCCGGTGTCGGATTGTCAGTCGCTGAGGGAAGGAAGGGCCTGGTGGTCCAGGCGAGGGCGGAAGTGTTGTTTTGTTGTTGTTTGGGGGTTAGTGCTTATATTCCTATACTATACTGTTCTAATTAGCGCCAAAAGGTCAGTAGGCTTTGAACTTTAGAATCAAATATTATGCTTCCAGATAAAAATGTGAAGCGTCACAACGAATATTGGTATTATGGCGCCTCCTTTTAAAAGGGCTCTTATTATTTATTTTATTCCAGTGGCATTTTTTTAGTTGAGCCTTTGAAAGGCTTTCATTATGCCCATTTCCTGTTTTTTTTTAAAAATGTTGTATTTAAATACTGAAGTCATAGAGCAGGGGTTGTCAACCTGGTCCCTACCGCCCACTAAGGTGTTTCAGGATTCTAGGTGGGTGGTAGGGCACAAGCTGAATCCTTCCATCGAGCACTGACGGGCGTAAGAAAATGTTACCATCAAGAAAGGTGCATTAGTGGGCGGTAGGTATAAAAAGGTTGACTACCCCTGTCATAGGGACGTGGGTGGCGCTGTGGGTTAAACCGCAGAGCCTAGGACTTGCCAATCAAAAGGTCGGCGGTTCGAATCCCCATGACGGGGTGAGCTCCTGTTGCTCGGTCCCTGCTCCTGCCAACCTAGCAGTTCGAAAGCACGTCAAAGTGCAAGTAGATAAATAGGTACTGCTCTGCCGGAAAGGTAAACGGCGTTTCTGTGTGCTGCTCTGGTTTGCCAGAAGCGGCTTAGTCATGCTGGCCACATGACCCAGAAGTTGTACGCCGGCTCCCTCGGCCAGTAAAGCGAGATGAGCGCTGCAACCCCAGAGTCGGTCATGACTAGACCTAATGGTCAGGGGTCCCTTTACCTTTACCTTTACCCCTGTTATAGAGGGACTGCTCTGAGTGATTATTATTCTTGAACAGATTACTGTAAGTTAGGCAAAAACAAGTGCCAAGAGTTGTTAATCTTTAAATATGTTTTCATTTGTTACAGATCTGATGGTGTTATGGAAACCCTACAGCATTACAATAGCCGGTGGAGATCCATTCGGATAATGTATCTCACAATGTTCTTCAGCAGTGTTGGTTTGTAAAATAACGTACTTTGCAGCTCCACTCCTATGTCTATATTGAATGTAAATTAAAATGCTTTATGGAACCTTTTTTATGGAAATGTATTGTACAGTCGTACCTTGGTTCTCGAACGCCTTGGTACTCAGACATTTTGGCTCCTGAATGCCATAAACCCAGAAGTGAGTGTTCTGGCTTGCGAACATTTTTCAGAAGCCGAATATCTGACAGAGGTTCCGGTTGAGTGCAGGAAGCTCCTGCAGCCAATCGGAAGCCATGCCTTGGTTTTCGAACAGTTCCGGGAGTCGACAACCAAGGTACGACTGTACATGTTTTGGCCACAGTATGGAGGAAATGCCAAAATTTAGTTGGGTGGTAATGAATATTTCTATGTTATGTCCATTAATTTCAATAGGTCTACTGAGTAAAACAGCTGAATACCAACCATTGTAAGTGTAGACTGGTTCTCAGTGCACTCTTGTCTAATTTGGAGAAACCAAACTGCTGTTTATCCTGGTTTGTTTTTTTAAAGGTTAATGTTCAAGAAAATCTTCCTGCAAATATTTTGCTTGCAGCTATAATTTGGTTTCCTCCCATAAGCTGCTATAGTGGGATTCTTATGTGATAAAGCTGTAGGAAGACTCTTAATCCAAATATCAGTTTTTCCAAAGTCTAACTCAACTGGTTTCAGTTCAACCTGAATAACTGGCCATAAACTCTGATACCTTGTGCCTTAATTAAAGCATGTGACTTTGTTAGGGGAAGAAAGCTCTGTTGGATCATATATTTAAGGAGTGAGCCATAGATTTATGATTGTTTAGTTGGACACATGCTACTAAAAAGCCAATAGGAATAAAACAGAAAAGGTAATATATGCCTCCATAAAATTATAAGGGAACAGGTTGTACTTTGATTTTTCTGTGGACTTTGAACATTTAGGGACACAATCATTTTATTCAGACAGATATATGAAGAATGTTATGTAATGATTTAATAATAGAAGCATAACTTCAATTATTTACATTGCAGGTTTTTCTATTGTGATTATGTCAATATGGCCCTATCTTCAACAGGTAACCATGAGAGTTTGAATTAGTTATCTGTTTTGTACTTGACTATGAATGAGTTTCTTTGTTGTGATATTTGAAGTGGTTGTCTTAATCTGGGGTGATTTATGTCAATTTTGCAAATTCAGGCTGCTGAATCAAAAGAGGTTTAGTTTAAAACCTTGTTTTTCAAAATACTACTATTTAACATTCATTCACTGTTTTATGGCTCGTCTAAAGTGTGAAGAAAATGTAGTTGAATACTACCCATTGGTTATACCTTAGCATTGTAGCAGTGCTATTGAGAAAGCAGTTCATAATTATTTTCATAAATTGGGCATTAAGCAGGTTGGTTTTAAAAAGCATCTTCCAAATATAGTCCCTTATTAGTTCTACAGTGGGCTTGCTCACATTATTTTCTGTCACCTTGCAATGCATTATACCTTTCAACTGTCTCTTCCCAAATAATTCTTCAGTTTTAGCTAATGGATAAATTCAGTAATACGACAATACCTCAAAGTATTTATATTACCTTGGGAAATGTTGTGATGCTGTTTGTAAAACTCTTGCTGGGAACTGATGAATGAGATGTGCTTGTTTTTCCTTTTGTTGTTTCCATAGATAGATAAAACTGCGGATCCAAGTTTCCTGGGCTGGATTATTGCTTCATATAGCATTGGTCAGATGATAGCTTCCCCCTTCTTTGGCACATGGTCCAATTACAGACCAAGAAGAGAGCCTCTTGTAGTTTCAACTACCATTTCAGTGGCTGCTAACTTTCTTTATGCCTATGTCCATTTACCTACATCACACAACAAATACTACATGCTGGTTGCTCGAGCTCTGGTGGGGTTTGGCGCAGGTAATTGTAGAAACATTTACACGGAAGATTGACAGTTGTGTGCTATTTAAGGTAGCTATGCTGTTAGGTTAATCAGAATCTCATAAGCAGCTATGAAATCTATCTTGCTTCATAGTGCCATTTGCTACATCACTAGCAAGGTGTAATTCAGAAATTGTGTAAATATATAATTTCCATTGTTGCTTAACTTCAAAATATAGACTCATGTCTCCCAATTTTACCAGGTGAGTTGCCCATAGTTCTCTGTGGCCTTGCATCTGAGTCAATGGTAGCCCAAAGGTGCAATATTTTTAAGTAACTGACTCAGTAGTGACAGAGATCCACTGTGAAATCGGAGGGTCTGAAAGAGCTGCTATATAAGAGGTTTGGCAAGAGTAAAAGCATGGGGAAGTTAGTGCAGTTTCCTCAGGAGCCTTTTACACATTAAGCTTCAAAAATGCTATGTAAGAAGCATGAGCTATTAACTCCTGTCTGCTAAAGAGTTCCAAGTTACTGAAAAGTTTTAACAGCTGAAATTAGATGGATACAGTTGTGAATAATCACTTCAGCGAAAAGGTGTCTCTGTAATCAGATGGCTTTCAATATCTGTGAATCTCTTTAAAATAAGACATGGCGGAAGAGGAATAAGTGTTACATTTCTAGTAATTTAGGTAAACAAAATAAATTCCTAATGTTTTATTTGTGTCAAGTAAACGTACTTCCTTCTGTTCATCTTTCTTTAGGAAATGTAGCAGTAGTTCGGTCATACATTGCTGGTGCCACCTCTCTTACTGAAAGAACTAGCGCCATGGCAAACACTAGTGCTTGTCAAGCAGTGGGTTTCATACTGGGACCAGGTACAACGTAGGTTGTATTTTCATTATTTTCAAATGAAACCTGATGTGTATGTGGAAACTTGGCATTCTGAATCAGAAAGACTTCAAATGTTACTTCAATCATTTGCATATGTATGTGTAAATTTAATTTTCCTGCTGTGTTAAAGTAAACTTTAGTTAAAACAGTATTTGGAAGTTGCAAGCTCAAATTCTAAGGATGATACTGAGGGGTATGAAGATGGTTTATCATATGCTTTTAATGTACTGAAGCAGCAGGTTTGGATAATAGTTCCTAATTTGGTGCTGGAAAAAAATGGGGCCATTTCCACATCAGAAGCACTCTTGGGTTCCATGCACCTCAATATCTATGGTGCTTTTCATTTATGGTGACAATGTTAGGAGTTCATCATGCTCTCTAACATCTATCTGGGGTGGGGAATCTATGGCCAGAGCACTGATGTTTTTGTGAGTAACTGGCCCTTCATAGGAAAAGGGTTCCCTGTCCCTTGTCTACAGCTTAGTAAAAGGTACATTAAGCAGGCAAGTGAATCAGACCCTATTGAGCTTAGGGCTCAATAGGACTTTCTCCCATGTAAGTGTGTAGGATTGCAACATAAGGATAATGTGTTCTTCCTATTATAAGAACACAGAATGCTTACGTTTAATAATTATAATTTTCACAAGGATCTTATATATATATATGCATGCATTATAGGCAGCATTAAAGTCATCATTTCAATCCATGGAATCCAT